ATATAACAAAACGAATGAAATTAAAGAAAGAGAATAATGCAATAAAAAATTAAAAAAGAGAAAATATCTTGACCATTGGGAAATGGGGTGCGTTAGCTTATTGTATATCTGTTATTTAAAATTAAAATGTCACGACAAGATTACGTCGTTAAAAATAATAACAACAACCATGGAATCACATGATAATGATTTTTATTCTCATTTTTTGCCTTCGATATTTATTTATTAATAATCTATTTTTCACTAAAATGTCATTTCATAATTTATTAGCACGAGGCAAAAGAGAATTAGCATATAAAATCATTATGAAATGGATAATAATGTCTTTTCAAGTAATTTTGATAGGGAAGTAGTAAAAGTTATTTTTTGCAAGTAGTCAGAAAAAAAAGAAAAAAATTTGTAGAGGAAAATATATTTATGATTTTGAATTAGATAATGCAATGTATAAATCAGGAGAACCGAGAGAATGTAAAAGTACTCTGATAAATTTTGTGAAAAATGTACTAGTTTAACAAAATCTTTTTAATTGTTGGACATTTGGAAATGAGATAATTGGTAATAATATCAAAAGTTTTCATCACTCCCAAGTATATTTTAGAATGTATACCTTTGAGCATTTTAAAATATAAAAAGTTAACAGAATATTAATTTATACTGCTATGTGAGCAAGGGGGATTTAAATAACCTTTTTGATAAAATTTATTTTAAAATGACAATTATTAAATAGGAAATTTCTTTTGAATATTATCCAAAGAAAATTCAGGTCATAACATTGATAGTAAGTAATTATACTATTACTTATTGAACCTGGAATCTGTTTGAATGGTGTAGTATAATTGCAGTACTTGCGAAATTCTTTAAATTTGGAAATCCAATTCGAATTGACTTTGGAACTAAAGCTTTTGACGATAAAAATTAAGTTTATAATCGAAATATCTTGAGAAATAGAATCAACCATTCCGATTTGAGGTAAAGTAGATGTTGAAGCCTCTAAAACTTTTTTGGGAAAGGCGAAGAGCACCTGCACCGAATAAAAAATAGATCGAGACATTCCAATTATGAAAGAATTTTTTAAAAGAAATAAAGAATGAAAGAACAATTTATTTTTCATTCTATCAAAAATAAACTATAAAATCAACTTTTCATAGCAAATAACTTTTAAATCATGGGACGTTTAGTTTCTATGGGATAAATCAGTTATTATTATTATTATTCCACAGAACCGTGGAATAACTATTACTTGTGTAGATTAAATTAAATTAAATTAATAAACTATAGAATTATTAACATTAATTATATTTTAGTTTATTATTTTGTTTTTGGCAATTTTATTTATAATCGAAAGGAAAAACCTAAAACCTTGTATTAAAGAGTTGAAATTAATTAATTACTGAACCAAAATACGGTCTAAACTAAAGATGGACAGATCTGTACTATATTATATATGTATTGTGCGTATATAATAGTAAATGTAAATCAATTCCTGTTTAGGTTACTGCCAAATAATTTGATATAATGTTACACATAAAAATTAATTACAATATTTAATATATATTAATATATATATATTTTAAACTTGCCAAAGTGCAATTTGGTAATATTCTAAACATATTGGTAATGTTAATGGCCATAATCAATTGCGTTTTGAATGTCTATATTGCAAAAGTCCAAAATATCAATGTGCTAGTTCAGTATCTAGATGTGAAAACCATTTACGCCTTCACGATTCAAACTAAAGAAATTATTCTGGAGAACATTTTGATACTTCAAATATAGCATACAAATAAATTACGACGTAATTGAAAATGCCATCGAAGAAGCTGATTAAACACATGAAAATTTTCTTGAAGAATCAAATAAAAGTGAAAGCAGTTTGATTTTCATGATATTTAATTCATTCAATATAATTAATGATTCAATTAAATATGTAAATCAAATTTTTAGTATAAAAAAGTGCAAATTGAATAAATTAAACAAAGATTTAATTGCTTACAATGTTCGTGTTTATTGTAATAGCCAAATAATTTTATTTTATTATTATAATAAAATTAAGTTTTGAAAATCATCCAATCAAATTTCAACACTACTACACGCACTATACGTACTATACGCACATTTACCCATCTCTAGTCTAAACCGAACCAGCTTTATTTATTTTTTATATAGAAAGCTCGAGCGTAATGCGTTTTACGCGTTGGTTGTAGAAACCAATATTGCCTAGAGTCGAATTTATATGTTTTGACCTCGAATAATTAATTAGAAACAAGGAAAAAATAATCGTTTTTAATAATTTGTCGTTATAACGCATTTCTACTTTGTATTTAAATACTCTTTAAATAACAAAAAATCATGCCTTGTATCATAAATAAAAGCTGGTCTGCAAGCTAAACTTGACTCGCTTAATGTGATTTCTGTTGATTTACATGATTTCGCATATTGTAAACTTCAAATCAAAAAAAGCAAAAACCCAACCCGATTCAACATCACATTCAAAGCAAAAGTTGTTCTATTTTTTTAAATGTATCTTAATATAAAACTACAGTCAAATCTTGTCATGAAAATTTTTGTTTCGCACATAAAAATCCGTTATGACGATATTTGTAAATGCTTACATCATGATAAGGTTGGACTGCGTTAAAGCAATATTTAAAAACCAAAGTCGAACCGATAGTTTCGATATTACTCGAATACAGTGAGGGTGGAAAATTATACATACATTTCAAAAAGGTATTACGATTAAAATTTAATTTAACTAATTATTATTACCCTGACTGATTCTTAAATAACTATATTGAAATTATGTAATGAGCCGCCCCTATTTCTCAAAAATTACATCAAATAACTCAGACAGGGCATAAAACAGTTATCCCGGGCCCAGCCAAGGCTTATATGTTACCTGGGGATAACTGGCTAATATTAAGAAGCATATAAAAAATTTCAGGGTTCTTTTAAACAATATTTTCACAAAAAACAATCGATCGATTAATTAATCAACCCAAAAGATAATAGCCACCCCAGAAATTTCAATTTTACTATGATGATGATTAGGAGGGGAAGGGGTGAAATTATTCGGCCGGTGAAAATTATGGGCTGTATGAGATGCATAATAATTTACAAAAAAGTAAAAACCGAGACACTTGAGAAATCTTTTAAACCAATTGAGTAAAAGATCTTTGATCGTAAGAATTCAATGATTTTATTTAGTAAATCTGTGATTATTACTACATAGTCATTATAAAAATACAAAAACAATCATGATGCTAACGGCTTAGTCCGTTTTATTTCCATTTTTTAATTCTCATTTAATACCCTCCATTTAAGTATTAATTGATTATTTATTTGCATAAATAATGATTACAAATAATGTCAATGTCGTTTATTTTGGAATGATTCAGTTTAAGAGAGACTTTAAATCAGATGGCGATGAAAAATCGACTATTTCATCCTCATATGAATTTTTTGTTTTTTTTGGCTGAAAGCATTCATGATTGAAACGTAAAGAAGATGATGCTATACGAGTTAATTAGAAGAAAAATATAATCTCACATTAGACATATGGAATCTAGTTGATATTCAATATAGTATCAAAATTTATATACTGATATGCCGAATCTACTACATTGAGTTGGCAAAGACTCATATGTTTGAATAAAGAGGGATGATAAATTTATTATGAAACGAAAGCTTACTAGAAATGTAACAAGAATCGTGAGCAAACTATCAGGAAAAATTCCCTGTCATATTAGGAAAATTTTTTCATTAATGTAATTTTTTATATATATAAATATAAATGGATGGATTATGTTTATATCTATTTACATATATGAAAAAATATCTACTTTGTATTGATTTTCCAAGGATATAACAATATCAATGAATTACAGGTGGATGTTTAAATGAACTGATCTGTTCTTAATAAAATATAAGTTGAAACTACATAAATAAAAAAATTCTATTGGTATAAAAATTTTATTATTATTGGAAATTGTAATTGACACAATACAAGTATTAATATATATAACATTATATATAAATATCATATTCGGTGCTGTGTGCTACAATGCATTTTAGTAAAGAAGGAGAATTATGTTTTTTTTATTTTTTTTATTTCAAGTTGGGATCGTATGATTTTAAAATAATAATAATAAAAATAATAAATAATAATAATAATACAACACAGAATCATGCCACATAAAAGAAAATAATGAAAATAATGATAATAAATAGCAGATAATAGAAATTATAGCCACCAGGGCAGAAATTTATTATTTATTATCACATATTAATATAAAGCAATTTCGAAATTTTATTTTTGAAATTAAGGAATTTGATAAAATTCGCTCGTATTAATATTTATTTCAAAAATCAAAGCAACAATTTATTCAATCTCTTTTTTACTCTCACTTCACGCGTATGTACTCTTTGATAGTTCTAGTTTGTTTAAATTTTCATGTTGTGTAAAGTATATATATTCTTACATGTATATATATACAATATATTTTTTGAAACAAAACGAATTCTCCTAAATTAATTAATTAATTATGAATGACATTGGATAAATTATTTCATCCATCTATAAAATACCAACGTTCCATCTCTCTCCCCTCTTTCACCTCTTCATAAATTGTATATCTACTTATCCATAAAACAAAAATCAACTTTTTGATAAAGTTAAAAACTACTTTGTAAATATTTTATTAAACGTGTTATATCGTTACCCATTTACCTTTTTTGGCCATTCAATCATTTAAGGAATCTTGTCTCTTTTTTAATTAGATTCGGTCGGTCTATGTGTATAAAATATATTTAATTTGATTTTCCTTGTTGCTGGCCCATCAAGAAATTTTAGATTTTTTTATAAATAAAAATTATATTTTATACTTTCTTTCGGCGTGGACATTGACATAAACAGCATATACAATATATACATATTCCCCTTAATCATTTTCACACTTCACCATTTCACACTCGATATAATTTTGTAAAAACAATCATAGAACATGCCGTACAAAGCGATCAGTAAAGGGATTTTGGCTTCTTTTGTTGTCATAGAATTATTCTATTTGTTAAAGGGTCTTGTAATCATTATATTTGGCGTTTTATGGATTAATAGAGTTGAACCAAATTTTCGCCTTGTATTAACGAATAATTTACTCATAGGTAAAGAGAGAGATTTTTTTAATATATACATTTTAATTAATAACAAATATCATCATATTCATCATCATCGTTAAATCCATTATTGTAGCTGGATTTGGTGTTGGAGGTCTTATTATAATTTCATTTTTTGCTGCTCTTGTTGGTTTCTTTAGTCCAATAAAACGTAAACGATTTTTACAGGCACATGTGTTCTTAATCATTGTGTCTGCCCTCTATTTATTGGCACTGGGTGCAAATGTTTGGTTTCAAACTTTGGATGAAAGAAATCATTTCAGCAAAGAATGGTCAAAATGGAGTTTGGGTACGCGAGCATTTTTCCAAGACGAGGTACTACATTATATCATATATACATGCAATTTCTAATTATTATTTCTAATTATTAAATAAATAAATAAATATTTTTAAATAGTTAAATTGTTGTGGTTACAATGACCCAACAGACATGGTGGCAGATTCAGATGTATGTCCACCTAACACCGATCTTAGTGGAAAAGTTGGTTGCATTGATGCGGTAACGCGAATAGCTGACAAATCATCACGCCAACTATTCACAAGTTTATTTGGTTTTATTGTAACTGATATATTTGCATTCTTCTCCGCCGTCATACTCATACAAGCAAGAAATGTGGAAGAACGTTATATAAAAATTGATGAAAAATATGGAAATTCAGGTGATCAAGCATTAAGGAGGCAATATGTGTGATCATTTATCTATTAATTAATCAATTAATTAAAATAACAATAATAATAATAGTAATAGTAATAATATGCATTAATAGTGGTAATAATTAATATAATAACAAATCGCTAAATCGTTATTTTTAAATTTTTGGCAGTTTCCTTTTGATTATTAAATTCAATAATTCCTGGTTTTTTTAATTCTCAAAAATGCTTCGTTTGATAATGAGATTATGCTCCCTCATAAAATCCCTTTTTTTATTATCCTTGATCGTCCATTAGACGATGTTGATTATGATAACAATAATCTGTTTTTAGTAAAATGATATATTAATTAGAGTATATCAGTAAATATATATATAAGATTTTGTTATTGTAGATTGTTAAATTTAAAAATGCAAAAATATAAAAAATATAAAAATAAAATGAAAAAAAAATTCAGACCACCACAAATTAAACTTTAAATCCAAATTTCTATAGAAAATTAACTTGAAATCCCATCTTGCACATATAATATTAGTAGTGATATTATTAATATTTTTGCTTGATAAAATCTTACCTCACCTCATTAAATGTGAGACAAAAAAAATGAAAAGGAGAGCGAAAGAAGATAGTGGTAGCAATACATTTCAATTATAGAGATACATAATTTAATAATAATAATAACAAAAATGTTAATATTTTTTTTAATAATTTCAAACATTTAGATTAAAAGTTTTATTAATAATTATATTATTGTTGAGATCGACCACGGCCACGAGAACCACCACGAAAACCTCTTCCTCTTCCACCTCGAGCTAGCAAAACCGTCAATATTCAATCATCAGTTAATAATATTTAATGATTAATATTAATAATAAATAAAAAATCATCGTAATTGTTTGTTACCTTGTGCTCTTGCAACGGTAGCCCTTCCTCTGCCCATACCTATCCCTCTTCCTTTCATAGCATTCGGTCCAATCTTCTTAAACATTGGTGCATTTTTTAACATGTCTGGCACAATAAAAAATCTAACATGTGATCCCCTGATATATACTTGATCCAACTGTGATACTCTACCATCTCTAGCTGTCACTGTGATCTCCCGAAGTTGCACATTCATATTATCTTCAGCTAAAAAATAATTTTAAATACGTTTATTGGCTGGTTGGTTGATTGTAAAATAAATTTTTTTTTTGATCTTTCCTTTTTACCTTCAGAAAGCTTTCCTCTATAAACAGTTCCATTATTTAATTCTAGAGTCACAACATGACCTTGAGCTTCGTGAAGTAATTTGATTGGTATACCAATTGACATTTCTATATTTTTTTTTTCCTCTAAATAAAAAATTATTAAAAAAATTTTTTTTTAGATAATCTGCATGAATGTCATTGTTCAATGTAACGTAGTACGATGCTTCAAAGCGTCAAACCATTTAAATATTAAATCATAGTAATAGTATAATTAAAAAAAAATTTTAATTCTGTCATCATTTTAAAATGGGTTTATTAGACAAAAAAAGAAAATTTGTATGGAGAAATAACCTAACAAAATAGAATATTTTTTTATTGCTCCTTTTATTGTTAAAAAAGAAAAGATAATGGCTGAACTTTCCTCATTGGTGACAATTGCGTCGACTACAACATTTATTTCAACCACAACAATTATTTCGGACTACAACAGCTATTTCGACAACAGCATCTATTTCGACAACAGCATCTATTTCGACCACAAAATCTCCATCAATGTCGATTGGCTCTACGGTTGGATTAATAGTGAGCAATTTTAATATTAAACGCTGTTGCAGCATGTTTTTTATTAAAAAAAGATTGGACACGAAGCTAAACAATAGTTTTCATCTAACAATTCAAGACAAATGTCATCATCAGCAACTCTTGATCCAAAAAGAACTAATAATAACAATAATAACAATGCCAATGTTAATTCAAATGGAGAAAATGATTTGTTAGAAGGTGGTGATTTTGGATTAAGAACAACACCATCAGCACCATCACTAAGATTGATTATAGAGGATTTGTCATCACATTTATACCAATATCATCACAAAATTATCTACATAATTATCTTTATGAATAACAACAACATGAAGATCAACAACAACCGCCAAATTATAATCAATCACAATTATCTATCTACATCACAATCTATACCATCATCCCCTCAGCCTACATTATAATAATTGCCGTTATCACAACAGCATTAATTACAACAGCAACAGCAAATAAACTTACAATTATCAACACCATCCTCGCCACCTTATTTTATGTTTGAAACAAGGCAATCTAATTATTTATCAACAAATCAATTAGTGTATGTACCTGCGTCATTTTATTCAGTTGATGATAAATTAAATTGACTTTCATTAACAATAGTTTGGGTCTTTAGAATATACAAATAATTACAATAGCTATAATTATGGACAGGATGATCAACTAATAGCAAGAAATTAGTATAAAGGATTCCGAGGTCAATATTACATAATTTTAATTTAATTTAAGTAACAAATATTAACCTTTTAAAGTTAATTAGCTTTATGACGCCTTTTCTTGTTTTTTATATTTATTTGTAGAGAATTGCTATTTCTCACCGGTGGTGATTGTCACCACCTAAGGAATTAAATTTGCGTGGGGCGGAGTTAGGGTTGGGTTAATCATAAATTGTATAATTCCTTAGATGGTGACAATCACCGTCGGTGAGAAATAGCAATTCCCTTATTTGTATGGTCTTGTATGGCTTCCCAATTTGTAAAATTATGTTACGTGTTTCACGAAGTTAAAAACGATTGTATATGGAATAAAACAAACATTTGTATTACCAATCATAGGTATTTGTTTTTTGCTTCTTATATCAATATAGGATTACCTCTGCATAATAATAAAAATAATTTTAATATGAAATTTATTTATATCGACGATGTTAGCTCATGAACCTCCTAGCGAAAAAAAATCCACTATGTAACATAGCACAATCAGAAGTATTTTGAAGAAAGGACGAAGTGAGAAAATTGCTCCTTATGCTTTCAAAATAAATGATACTTTGACACTTGAAGCTTATATAAGGTAAAAAAGAATTACCTGTGAAATTTATCAAGAAGAAAGAAAAATAATAAACATTTAACACAAAATCATGAACCTAAAAAGAAAAAGCAGCTTATTGAAGAATTCACAAATTTGTACATTTGTGGTACAAATATGCACACCCCTCAAACGTTTTGTTGTTGATAATCTTGAATAAGTTAATCAGTATAACAAGGCCAAAACAATTATTTAAAAAAAACAAAGAAAATCTTATTTTTGTTGATTCATATTCGTTCAGTGGTATTTTTATATGTGTTAATTGATTTTATAATTAGATAATAACAATGATGAATTGACTTTGTTACAAACGAACGAATGATCATTTAAGAAGAAAAATTAATAGACCAATTTGGCAACATTTTATTGAAATTAGCAGCTCTAACAACAATAACGATAATAAACAACCTGTGCAAAATCCAATTATTGTGATCAACAATGGGCTCGTGGAAAAAGTTCTGACACGATATCTCTTATTGCATTTATCTTGCACTAAACCCTGCCACCTAAAACATATTGCAAAATGATGAAATTAGTGAGGATGATGATGATATGAAAAACAAGAATTTTTGACCATCTCAAGAAAAAAACAATTATAAACGAAAAACAACTTGGGTGTCCATATGCTTGAATTTTTTTGCCTGTTGCGGAATTCCGGTTTGGATTGTTGAAAACCCATGCTTTGTAGATTTTATTGATGATCTCTATGTGAATTTCAACTTCCTAAAAGAACCACTTCATCTACTACACTTGTTAATTTAGAATTTGCTAAAATAATTTCAATCACTTCATCAATGAGGTTAATCTTACACTAGGTAATTATTTATTTTATTAATAATTTTAAAATTTTGACTAAAATTTAAAACAAATCAGGTCTAGATGGTTGGACTTCTCCGGCTGGTATATTTTTGTAATTATGATATCGGATAGAAAAGAGTTTGTACACTAAAGAAATTTTCAAAAAGATTCACACACTAGAAATTTCTTATGTTCTGAAATATCACGAGTTCTTAATGAAGTTAGTGTAAATAAATTTTCTGGTGTGCTCTCTGACTATGCTGCAAATGTAGTTATAGCAAAACATTTGATTTCTGCACGATATCCTCATATAATTCCAACATCACATCAATAGTATTATGAAATTGGGAGTGGTAATCAAAATTGTTAAATTTTTCACTAAATCGCATGTTGCTGGTGAAAATTTGAGAGGAAATTGTTAATACAGTCAAATCTCGATAAACCAAACTATCATAAACCGATTTTCGCTTTATAACGATGCAAAATTGGCT